TTCTTTCCCGCTCCGCGACGACACGCATGGGTTGTGCAGATGGCGCTGTGCAGCCACGCCCGCACTAGGGCTGATTTTTGGTGGAGGCTTCTATGGCAACATGCTTAGAAATTCTGCTGGGCTTGTTTTGATGGGTTAGCTTATTTTGGGGGAAACACGGTACATGTATGAAAAAAAGTGAAGTCTCGACCATAGGCCAAAAAGACCTGGCTCTCCCAAGAACGTGTTTGAAGAACAATGGCTGCGCTGTGCTCTGGCAGCAGGTGTTATGCTCAGAAGAACCCCCTTGCCAGGGAAAGCTCTCTGGTCCTGGCACTGCCCTGCTATATACAGTGTACGGTCCCGCTGCCCAAAGCAGGACAAAAGGTTTTCAGCAAGGTAAAATGACATACCTTCACCTAACCACCTGCACACCGTTAGCAGTAAGTGCTTTACGGCTGCCGTTCCCAAACCCCAGGCACAGAGCTCCGCCCTCCCTCCCCAGCCCCCCCCTCCCGCCCAACCCGCCCCTGCAAAAATTGTCTCCATGAACTTAGGCACGGGCCACACAGCAGGTGCAAGAGCTCCGCACCGTCCCAGGCTCGCCTCTACTTCTCCCAACCCGTCCCGAAAAACTGTCTCAGGAACCGGTCCCTTGTGCCAAAAAGGCTAGGGACCCGGTGATTTCTATTTGCAAATCAGTCTTAGGCTCTTCTAAACAATGAACTCAAGTCTTTTTTTTTTTTTTTTTTTTTTGAGACAGGAGTCTCACTTGTTCCCGGGCTAGAGTGCTGTGCGTCAGCCTAGTCACAGCAACTCAAACTCTTGGGTCAAGCGATCCTCCTGCCTCAGCCTCCCAAGCAACTGGGACTAAGAGGCATGCGCCACCGACGCCGCTCATTTTTTCATATATTTTTGAGTTGGCCAATTAACTTCTTACTAGTTTTTGTAGAGACAGGGTCTCCTCTGCTCAGCTGGTTTGAAACCTGACCTGAAGCAGATCCCGCCCTTCTCAGCCTCGCAGAGGCGTAGGATGGCAGCGTGAGCTACGCGCCCAGCTGGCCTCATTTGGATCTTAAATATTTGGCTTGCATTTTTTTTTTTCTATTCTAACTCACAGGAAAGGTTGTTCTCCTTCCTTAGCTGATCCAAAACACATTAGCCAAGACAATTCAAACATTGCAGAAGTTTGTCTCCCCAAAATGACCAGGCAGAGACAAGGCAAAAAGGAGTATGTTTGGAGAACATGTCTCTCATGGTGGTAAAAATTTGTTTAAAAAACTTGAGATTTCATAGTATTGAGAAAGTTCAAGTGGATCTACCAGTTTTGATCCAGCAATCCACTTGTGGGCAATCTACCCAAAAGATCAAGCATACTCTACAAAAAGGACACCTGCACTCAAATGTGTTATAGCAGCAGAATTCATAATCGAAGGCTGTGGAAACACCACGTGACCATCAATCCAAAGATCGGATTAATAAAGTAGTATAGTTACACCATGGAATACACTCAGCTCTAAGAAACAAACGTGAATTAGACTCTTGATATTTCGATAAGCGAGCCCATTCTACTAATAAAACGTAATCCCAAGAATGGAAAACAACACCACAAACTCACCAAACTGTATTAACTGAGGCAGCACCTAAGTGACACATAGACTACAGTAATAGGTATGGGCCAGGAGGGGTGTATACATACATAATGAGTGAGTGGATCCATCTGGGGGATGGGTCACGCTGGAAACTCAGACCTTGTGGGGGGGAGGGGAAAGGGCCATTTTTTGAAACTAAATTTGTACCCCATAATATGCTGAAAAATAAAAAAAAAACAAAAAAACGATGTTGGAATAGAAAATATTACATTGTTTTCAAAGAATGAGGGCTCAGCTGCTGTTTTTTGTTTTTTTGTTTTCCCCAGAAATAATCTATCCAGGCAACCCAAAAAAGGTAACCAAAAAAAGAATTTATTATGAATAACTGAAACGGGTTAATTTGTACCTCACTCATTCAGTACATTTTTATTGAGCTCTAACTATATGCCTGGTACCATTCTAGGGTTTGGAGATTTAGCACTAAACAAAGTTTCCACTTTAAGGAGGCTCACATTTCAGTCCTTCTGTCTCCATACGAAACATGATACACAGGCACCAAACAGACACAAGCAGCAAAGTGGCTACCGCTACAATGTATTATTTTTATTTATTTATTTATTTTTTTGATACAGAGTCTCACTCTGTTGCCCAGGCTATAGTGAGTGACGTGGCGTCAGCCTCACTCACAGCAACCTCAGACTCCTGGGCTCAAGCAATCCTCCTGCCTCAGCCTCCCGAGTAGCTGGGACTACAGGCATGCACTACCACGCCCGGCTAATTTTTTCTATATATTTTTAGTTGGTCAATTAATTTCTTTCTATTTTTAGTAGAGATGGGGGTCTCGCTCTTGCTCAGGCTGGTTTCCAACTCCTGACCTCGAGCTATCCTCCCGCCTTCGGCTCCCAGAGTGCTAGGATTACAGGCGTGAGCCACTCGCCTCGCCTACAATGCACTATTTTTTTAAACCAAAGTATCCACACACAAACGTGAAGAGGAATATTCGAATCGATCTGTTTTATAGCAAACATTTTATGTCTTATTTTAATCTCCAGACCGTATTTTACAATATACCAAATAACCCCACCACCATGTGAACGGTGCACTAAGGTTGCCGGGATTACAATCTGTGTGTGCTTTGGCGTGGAGTAGAACACTCCCCATCCTTTTCCCCCTCAAACACAAGGAACACATGCTGGAAACCCTCCAGTACCAACCCGGGTTTTAACAAGGGGAACATTGGTTCTTTTAGAGGCATTTCCTGCGTTCGTTTTTTTAAAGGTTAAAAAAATTGAATTCTTTGAGAAACTAAACTCAAGTTCAATTTCAACACGTCAGAAGTCAGCCTTAGCTAACTCTCTTTAAAACAAAAACAAACAAACAAAAAACTCCACTCCTGTTTTATTTAATTAAAAGAATAAAGGCCGGGCGCGGTGGCTCACGCTTGTAATCCTAGCTCTCTGGGAGGCCGAGGCGGGTGGATTGCTCCGAGGTCAGGAGTTCGAAACCAGCCTGAGCAAGAGCGAGACCCCGTCTCTACTATAAATAGAAAGAAATTAATTGGCCAACTAATATATATACAAAAAATTAGCCGGGCATGGTGGCGCATGCCTGTAGTCCCAGCTACTTGGGAGGCTGAGGCAGCAGGATTGCTTGAGCCCAGGAGTTTGAGGTTGCTGTGAGCTAGGCTGACGCCACGGCACTCACTGTAGCCTGGGCACCAAAGCGAGACTCTGTCTCAAAAAAAAAAAAAAAAAAAAAAAAGAATAAAAAATAGTCCCAAGAACTAGCCTGTCCAGAATACAGTCAACCCTACTGAACAAAAAATCGATATGGATTGGAAGGGGAAGGGATGAGGAAAAAATAGGCTTTCGATGTTTGGCAGATAACGATGTTGTCGTTAGTATGATTATGGTGAACAAATGATGATTCTTAATCTGTCTGCTCTTCTGGTTCACTAATTGCTTTCGGAAGTGGATTTTTCTGTGCCAAAATCGTAGCTGTAACGTCAGTGAACATACGTCGTTCCAGCACTGCTTTTCTGAATGTCCTGATTCAGCCGGGGCATGGTAGCTCCTGTGGGCTAGGGCATCCCCTTTGGCAATAGAATAGTTAACCCTTTGCACTCGGATGTCGAGTGTGACCACCACTCAACACATAGTTTCACCGCGAGGGGAAAGGGGGATTTTTGTCTATTTTTCCAGTATCTTTTCTTGTTTTCATTAGCGCTAAAGGACAAGTAAAATGTAAATGCAGAGATGGTCCACTAACTCCCAGGGGTAGATTATTATTATCCACTAACTTAGAGCAACGTTTAGATGGAAACCTCCATGTAATCACAACTCACCCTAACAAAAAACACAAAGAGCGTGCTGTTTGTTCTAACAGAAAAATCAAAGGAGGAAGAAGAGAGACGATTTATATTTTCAAAACATGTGAATGCAAACCAGGTCTTCATGCGGGTGAATGTTTCAAAAAATATCACACCATGAAAAATTATGGAGATTAAAATTACTCTTTGAATGTATCAATAATTTGAAATATTAAAAAATCCAAATAAGTAAGTTTGTATGAAAAGAAACTCCCAGTTTTTTATTCTACTGCCGCGCTTTGTAAAATCTGGGGTATTTAAAAAATTGAATCCCGAGTAGAATAAAGGAATCGAGAAAAAAGCAAGTGAGTGCAAAGGGATTTCTTTTGTCCAGACATATTGTGCATTTGATAATATTTATGATTTACTTGTTGAATATTGCTTTCATCTGTTAATTTCCTCTATTAGGAAATGAAAGGTTAGTTCCGCTTGGGATTGTTTAGCCCCTAAATTTTTTCTCTGCACCCTTCACGTTGCATGGTAAATACATTCTACATCTTGAACCACGGTAGAATTTTTTAGGACCCCCCCCCAACTTCTTTTTGGCGATGCCCTTTGTGAAGTCCTGAGAAATGTTTTATATTTGAATGAGATTAAATCTGGGTTTCACTTTACTTTTCTTAAAACACATTGAGCAAGTTAATTTTCTGTTTGAGTTCCTACGGAGCACCATTCCTGCCCAGGAATTCAGGCTGAACCCTGCCAGAACATTCCTGTGGTTTTCCACGGGGCAGATCGGCGTGTTCGTGAAATCTTAGCCGTAGCTTGTGCTTTCCGTGGTTAATGAAAACATCTGGCTTTTACATTTTCCACAAACAGAGCGCAATGCTGGGGCCAGACCTTTTCGATGGCGATTAAATACTTCAAGCCTCCCCTCGGAAGAGTCCACACTCGGAATTAGGGTACCCTATAAGCTGTGGCGCCGTTCGTTAAGGATTTTAAAGATTCGGAAGGCGTTTGGGGTTATCCTGCCAAACAGACATACCCTTGAGAGAGGGGGTGGAGGGATAACCTCTGTGCATGTGAGTTCTTACAATGGCATTTGGCCTCTGCCCCTGCAGGTCTGGGTGTCCGTGGGTGAGCCGCTGTGGTCTGCAGCCAAGCATGCTGTGGTCGGATCTGCCCAGCCGGGGAGCAGAAACGTTCGCTGGATGGAAAATCCATAAAAGAAAGCCCCTGTGAAAGAAAGGCTGAGACCGGCGACATAACTTAAGCACAATCAGGTTGGTATAAGACAAGAGAGGCTGAACGAAGTAGATTGGGCCGGGTAGGGAGAGACTGTTTCGTCCCTTTCTTAAACGTGCTTGAGACAACCCAAAGGATCGTTCCCAGTTACTCGACAGATTCCCAGCGTCTCGTAAATAGCAGATGTGCCTTGACCGTCTGCGGATGGTGTACCGTCATCTTCCTTTCCTTCTCCTCTGTCCCACCCTCTTTCATCTTCCTTCCCTCTCTCAGAGAAGAGAGGGAGATCTTCAACCCAAAATATCGAAGGAGCTACAACAGCAGGTCGCTCCTGAGAGCTTCAGTGATCTTGGCTTTGTTTTTTTTTTTTTTTTTTTTTGTAGAGAAAGCAGTTTCCAGTGGCCTTGTAGAGTTGTATTGGTCCTTTCAAAGACTTGCACTCGTATTTGTATTTTCTCGCTGCTACAGGGTGGGGTCGTGGAGACCTGACGTTCTTTTGTTGGGGTGATTCTGGCTGTGAGCCCCGGTTTTTGCTTGGCAGGATTTTGCATGCTCTTATCTTCCCCCAGACGAAAGCTAACGATGCATTCATTTTCTGCCTTGTGTGCATTTGGTTGGCAGCAAGACACTCAGGACAGGGGAAGGGAAAAGTCTAAATCAATGCAAAATAGTCTCCCTGCGGACCGGGAGAGTAAAACAGCATAGATAACCCCGTATGGGGCAGGAAGGTGGAAAAGAATTCGGTTTGAGAAGATATATAGAGTGTAGAGACAGACACTGCAAACAATTTCTACTGGATGTCGATTGGGTGCATTCAGCTTTGTACTTAACAAGCAGTTAATAAATAAAGACCGTGTTTCTCAGAAAATAAGACCTACCCATGAAATAAGCCCTAGCAGGATTTCTAAGCATGTGCGCCATAGAAGCCCTACCCCGAAAATAAGCCCCAGTGACGGGCGTGGCTGCGCAGCGCATCTGCACAACCCATGCGTGTCGTCGCGGAGCGGGAAAGAACAGGAGCAGCCCTTCTCATCCGCCCCGTGAGAGCTCTAGTACTCCACAGGAGAGATCGGGGCCGGTGGTTCTAAAGGAAACAGAGTCGCAAGACATTCAGGATGGAATTTGGGGTCTGGAGAGTGAGGATGATGTTCCAGAAGAAGACGACTTCACTCTATTTGAATCAATGTAGATGGTTATGCCGTACTTAAAAAAAAAAAACTAACACATCCCCTGAAAATAAGCCCTGGGGTGTCTTCTTGAGGCCAAATAAATGTAAGACCCTGTCTTATTTTCAGGGAAACACGGTACTCACTAGAAAAGAGTGAGTTGACAGTCTGAAAGCCTATTAGGTTAGTGAATATCTGTTGACTTTGCCCACTCAGCCTGGTCTTCCTCCTCCTTTGAGTTGGGGGTTTGTCCCTTACGCTTAAAGCTCAAAACCGCCCGATTGAGCCAGGCGCGGTGGCTCACGCCTGTGATCCTAGCACTCTGGGAGGCTGAGGCGGGCGGATTGCTCGAGGTCAGGAGTTCGAAACCAGCCTGAGCAAGAGCGGAACCCTGTCTCTACTATAAATAGAAAGAAATTAATTGGCTAACTAATATATATATAAAATAATTAGCTGGGCATGGTGGCGCATGCCTGTAGTCCCAGCTACTCGGGAGGCTAAGGCAGAAGGATTGCTTGAGCCCAGGAGTTTGAGGTTGCTGTGAGCTAGGCTGACGCCAGGGCACTCACTCTAGCCTGGTCAACAAGGGAGACTCTGTCTCAAAAAAAAAACAAAAAAAAAAACCCCGCCCGATTGGCAGTGCCTTCTAGGTGTGAGGTCTTAGGCTGGAATCTGTGGAATCTGTAGGGGGGGGGCAGGTAGGTATTCCTATAGCTGACCCCTGGTATGAAAACCCTTCACAACCAGAGGTAAGGGCAAACTTCTGTGGGAGCAGAGATGAAATTATGAATTCTGCCGGGTGGTGGAAAGGCCAGCAGAGAGGGCTGCTCTTTGACAAAGGAGAAATAGACTTTAGTCTTCTTCAGGAACATTAAAAAAAAAATACATTTAATGCAATTACTTGCTTTTTAGAGTCTAAGACAAAGGGAGGCTTTCCAGAGCCTATAGTTAAAGTAAGTTGCAGATGGCCGGGCGTGGGTGGCTCAGACCTGTGATCCTTGCACTCTGGGAGGCCGAGGCAGGAGGATTGCTCAAGGTCAGGAGTTCGAAACCAGCCTGAGCAAGAACAAGACCCCCCTCTCTACTAAATATAGAAAGAAATTAATTGGCCAACTAAAAATATATAGAAAAAATTAGCCGGGCGTGGTGGCGCATGCCTGTAGTCCCAGCTACTCGGGAGGCTGAGGCAGGAGGATCACTTGAGCCCAGGAGTTGGGGGTTGCTGTGAGTGAGGCTGACGCCACGGCACTCACTCTAGTCCAGGCAACAGAGTGAGACTCTTGTCTCAAAAAATAAATAAATAACTAAAGTGAGTTGCAGACAGGGAAGATGATTTCAGAGCCTTGCTAGTAGTAGCATCTTGTTATTTATTGTAAAAGCAGTTTGTTTAGTGAGCAGCCAGATGAGAAGTTATCAGAAAGCCATCCAGAGTTTATTTTAATACCCCAGGGGACAAGCTGCTCTTCTCACCAAAACCTCAGTCAGGCTTTCTGTTCTCAGCAGAATAGAATCAATTCCATGGATTGAAATGTTTATTTCCTCCTTTTAAGGATAGACTTTATTATCGTTATTTTATCTTTTATAATTAACATTGTTTACTTGTTTTAAAATGAATAGACTTTATGTTTTGAGGGGGAAGTTTATGTGCTAGAAAAATTGAGCAGAAAGTATAGAGCTTCCATGTAACTCCCAAAGGTGATTTCTCCTACTATTAATATCTCCAAAAAGTCTTTGACTAATCAAGGCTTGTGAAGATTTCCTCCTGCGTTTCTTTCTAGAATTTCTGTTGTTTAGCTCTAACGTGAGGTCTGTAATCCATCTTGGGTTAGTTTTCACTTAGCGTGGGAGATTTGGGTCTACATTCATTTTATTTTGTTTTATTTTATTTTCTGTGTGTGAGTACCCAGCACCATTTGCTGAAAAGACTATTCTCTACCCATCGACTTGTCTTGGTTCCTTTGTAGAAAATCAGTTGACTGTAAATGTAGGGGATTATTTCTGTACCCTCAATTTTGTTCCTCTGATTTGTATGCTTATCTGCATGCCAGTACCACACTGTACTTAGGTTTTTGCAATGCAATTTTTCTATGAAAAAAAACTTTGTTCAAGAATTGGACTTAAGCTGCAGTAAGTCTCGGTTAAAAAAATATTGTTGTATATTTGCTACTTCCCTCCACATTCCTTCATGAGTCACCAGTCTCTGGCGATTTCTCCTTGGAATAATTTATGGGAATCTTAAATGGTAGAAAACAATGTGGAATACATCTAGATGCATTTTCTAAATTACTATATATATATATATTACTTTAAATCTAAGCGATGCTTTGTTTTTCATAAAGGTGTTAAGCAGTTTTGTGCCCTTTCTACATTTGAATAAAACAGATCAAATTTTTCATTACCTCTGTTTTAATCATTGCCAGTAACTACTAAATGAAGGATTTACAACTCTGGTATATTATTTCAAGAATTTTCATTGGTGGTGATATGAATTGAGTCTCACACAGAAAAAGAAGAATTTCATAAAACTATTATTTTATATAAAATATGAATTAAGGTGGTCTTGCTTGGCTTTGCTTAACATGGTGTGGTTCCATGTGTTTGATGAAAATTGGACATTTTCATAGTGCAATTAAAATGTTTTAAAATAAATAAAATGTTAGCTGTATTTTTGTACTTACCTATTCTGTTTTTCTCTTTGTATTGGAATGGTTCTCAGCAGACTAAAGACATTAAGATAATTACGTTAGAAACATGGAGGTTGCAGATTTATATATCTTCTTTAGTTACAACCATGCAAAACATATATATGAATGCATAAAGATTGAAAAGGAAATTTTTAAAAAGACAGTGCTTTATTGTGATGTTTGGATTCTAAGTTGCCCAATTTCTCTTATTTTATTTTCTAATAACATCATAATTTTTAATAAAGTTATAATTTTGTTTGGGACATGACTTATTTTTTAATGTGAAAAATATCTAAAATTCGGTCTTGGTGAAATGCAGAGATATATCGCCCTTCTGTGGCATATCGCTAAAAGCCAACTACTGGGCTTTAATCGGGGATTAAAACCACACTATTAGATTTGGAGCCTGTTTTCTGCGGTTCCGTTAGCCCGGCCCTGCCTCCCAGCTCCTGCAGGCTCCTCTCTCAGGAATCCTTACCTGCTCCCTGCTGTCTTTGTGATCTTCTCATTTCAGCCTGGGTAGACCAGCTTGTTGGGAACTGAGGAGTTTCTTACCTGGCCTCTTTACTTTTCTGAGTAGTCATTCATTCGGTTGATCATGTCACTTCCTAAAAATATATCCAAAGAGCAACGGGGACTTATTCTTTTTATTGTGTGTGTGTATATATATATATATACAAAGGAATAGGTTAAGCTTTCATTTGTGTCTCTGGGACCCTGGACATGGGTGTCATGATCTTTTCACCCAGTTACTTCTTTAAATCTTCTTTTCTTTCTCATTGCTGCCCGTTTTAACACCTTTGTGACCGGTTCACAGATTGACGCTATGAGGAGGGTAATGTAATGTGCTAAAAGGATCAGAGGATACATACCATGTTTCCCCGAAAATAAGACCTACCCATGAAATAAGCCCCAGCAGGATGTCTAAGCATGTGCGCCATAGAAGCCCCACCCCGAAAATCAGCCCTAGTGGTGGGCGTGGCTATGAAAATCAGCCCTGGTGGTGGGCGTGGCTATGAACAAAATCAGTCCTAGTGGTGGGCGTGGCTATGAAAATCAGCCCTGGTGATGGGCGTGGCTATGAAAATCAGCCCTAGTGATGGGCGTGGCTATGAAAATCAGCCCTAGTGACGGGCGTGGCTATGAAAATCAGCCCTAGCGACGGGCGTGGCTGCGCAGTGCATCTGC